ACCTTTCGTGCGAGTTATTAAACAAAATATCTATCAAACTTGTCAAATTTTACTGATCTCTCTGTCACTGCATGCTCGTTTTCGCGGAAAATGTGATTTAATTTCTGTCATAAATTTTCCCGCTGTAAATTTCTCAGGGTATACCTTTCTCGACAGGCTAAAAGCATACAGGAAAGTACAATGGCCACGTTGTAAATCTCAGACTCTCTCCTTTTATCACTGCGCTGTTAAACCAGTTTGAAAATAAAAGAAAAGAACGGGCACATCAATGTGTATCTCGCTACAAGCTGGAAATATAATTCCAATTAGCGATTCTACAAACAAAGCTTGACGCAGACGCGCGGCATTAACAAGGGTCAAGGTAGATTTTTTGAGAAACCATGCAAATCAAAAGAACTACTAGGCTAGACACATTCGTGTCCAATTTGCACAAGGAGAATGCGCGTAGCACGTATCATTTGAATACAATATCTCCTTAGCATAACTTGGCTACTGCTACACTCTCGCGAAAATTCCTGGTTGGCTCTCGCAACGCACACACCACTCGAGCTCTTCGCAATTAGCGCGGATCGTAATAATATCCGGGGCACACGCGCAGCTGTGATTGAGATACGAAAATGTTGGCCGCGAGCGCCGTGAGCGATTGATAATGAGGCGTACACAGCACCGCGGATACACATTCGTATACGCGCGGGCGTAGGCGTGCACATAAATCGTGCAGCGAGCGAGGCCCCCCTTTACACCTGTCGCGGTACGACATGCCCGTGCGCTCCGGTTTCTCTACGTGTCCGTGTGTCAATTCGAGCCCTCCCTCCGATTTATATATTTGACCTTTTTGCGGCTTATCCATTTCTCCGCTCATTCGCGCCGCGTTTCTTCCTTTTTCTTCGTATATATAAGCCGCTTACTTCGGCTTCGATGGGGTTATTAATCTTTTTCGATATAAACTTATTTAACTGCTTCGGGCGCGTTTGCATCGTCGAGTCAGCGGATGTGCAATGTAGTGTCTCTTCTTGCGAGACATCTGCCGTTTATTTTTTTTTTTTTTAATTTTTCCTTTGTCTTTATTTTTTTGCTTACAGATTTTATATTATAGTTATGTACGTGACACGCGCTTCCATTCATGTTATAACCAGCAGAGAGACAAGAAATACGTATAATTGTCTTCGTTGAGCCACGTGGTGCTGTTATATGCCGCTTTTGCTTCTTATCGCGAAGAGATAGATAGAGGCACCCACATGGCACGCGAGTTTTGCTGCTGATTGTATACCATGTTTTAACCATACAATATGTATATATATGGGCGTGCGTATATATAAATGCGGAACAAACTTCGTTCCTGCTGACAATACGCGGTTAAAACATAAAAATAGAAGTCGCAGTATTTAATAATTAACATCCTCGCGTATGTGTCGTCGAGGTTATTAATATACTCTTTGCAATGAAATATATCCTGTCTTTTCTTTTGTCGTTATCGTAAGGTAACGAAGGATTGACACGATGATATGTCGAAAGATAAATCGGTTTCTATATCGACAAAAGGAAAGAGAGAAAAAACCATTGCCGATGATGAGGAGAGGGGGGGGGGGGGGAATAAAAAAAGTGAAGGATTCTTTTCTTCTCGATCCTTCAAACCTTTTGTGAAAGAGGAAGGAAGCGATCGAACAAATATACATCCGGAAGAAGGCGAGAAAGCATAAGCGAGAACGGAAATCAGTGTATTATACTGATTAGGAACAAAGGAGTACAGAGCGAGCAAATCGATATATAGCCTTATAGAATAGCGAGAGAGAGAGAGAGTGAATCGAAGTGAGAGTGAAGCGCAGTCCCTGTCTCAAGACACACAATGGCTTCGGTGCGGAGGCGGACTATAATAACTCGCAGCAGCCTCTGTGGGAATCGCGCCAAGTTGCAGCATCCTCTCTCTCTCTCTCTCTCTCTCTCTCCCTCTCTTGCTCGATCCGGCACCTGCTTAAAAAACCATTTCGAAGTATAGGCGCGCCGAAGTAGAAATTTTTTCGAGGTCGTTTGAAAAATCGACGCGGCATTCGCGTTCATAGTATGTACTTTAATGATTCGGCGACTTCTATTTAGGCGTAATGTTTTTCTTTGAGCCATACTTTTGTCATTAAGCACCAGGATCTATATTGAATAAAGCTACGTTACTCGCGTTAGCGAGTATCAATCATTTGATTGAAATGATTTTACCGTTACAATTGTGTCGTTAAACGATTTTTAAATCTTTTTCACCGTACGCCCTCGCGTTCTTTCACAAGATACATAAACTTTATTTACGTTCGCATATAAAGGCGAGCGCTTGATCCTTCAGAAAAAAAAACTCGTCATTTTGCAATATAAAGAAGTCACTCAGTCACTCGAGCAAATAAATTAATTTAAAAAAGCATTCTTCTGAACAAAAAAAATAAACTAATTAAATTAATTTAGAGGCCACATAAGAAAAGAAGACGAAGACGGAATTAATATTTATCGCGTTCGTCCACACATAGACACACCCGCTTACACGGGCAGTCGCGAAGAATGCAAAAGGCAAAGGTGCAAAAAAAGGGCGACTTGAGAGGGATACCGCGCGTTCTCGGGCTGTATTTCGGTAAAGAGAGACAGAGAGAAAGATTCGACGGGCTGTAAATCGTGCGCTTGGCGCAGTGTCGACGAACGCGCTAATGAGAATCATTGCCCTGGGCTTTTGCTACTTCGCTCCAACAGATTTAGACCTTTTTTCGAAATAGCAAAAGAGAGAGCGAGAGAGACGACCTGAATTGGGTAAAGGAGCCCCCGTGTATTAAAAGGACCCCGAAAAATACGAGGGTGACGTCATGCCGAGATATTTTGCTCGTGTGACCGTGCTGTGGCGGCGGCAGTGGCTTCTTGAATAAATTTATTGCTCGGTTCTTTCAAACAAGCTGCTTCCAAGATTTAGGGGACATTAATTTGTCCATTTTTAATTATAATTGAGTTACACGGCTGCCTTTTTCCTTATTTTTTTTTTAATTTTTTTATTTAATTTTATCTTTCTTTTTGCTTGCTTCGAATGTATAAATTTCGAATGAATTCTCCCGCACATGAAAGAAAAAAAAAAATATATATATATATATATATATATTGCGCGAGTCATAATAAAAATAAGATAGAAAAGTTAGTTATGAAATGATCGTATATGGATATATTTTGAGTGGCATACGTATTTCAGTGGCTGTTAAATGGGCAGTTAATCATTGACGAGGGTTAATAAGTGTGACCGCAAAGTTTGACATCCATTATCGTTACTCAATAACGCGCCTAGCCACCGGTTTTAAGGAAGATTAATCGTAGACACATTTTACGCCATAAAACTCCCCTTAGAGAGAGAGAGAGAGAGAGAGAGAGAGAGAGAGAGAGAGAGAGAGAGAGAGAGAGAAAAAGAGATGACAGCAAAACCAGCGGCGATGAAAAAAAAGAACGAAAACGTTTAGAGGATTTAGGAGCTCGAGAACTCAGTGGGCGGGAATCCGATGAAGCTCACCGTTCTGTCTACAGAAAAAATGCGTCCTCGCGTGCGATGACAGCCGACGATTTTATTCTCTTCCCCCTTCTTTCACGTTGTTACGTAATTCTTTGTATTTCGAAGGAAGATATGACTATCCTAATGAGATGCGTTAAATTGTTTTTTGCAACAGCTTGGGAAAAAAAGACATTTCGCGAGGAATGTTGGCCCAAGAGAAACGTTCAATTAGTCACCATTTAACGAGTGTTGAACGCGCAAGACGAAAAATATTCCATTATTTGGAACAGATGTAAACTGATAATTTGAATAATTTTCGAGCAAACACCCGAAAAACAGTTTAACTCGAAGAAAAATGAGAAAAATGAGAAAGCGAAGATATCGCATCCGGGCGTAGATATCAGGTGCTGCCGGTCGGCGGTTGCCCCTTTACTCGCGGCAACGTTTGCTCTTCGTATTCCAAAGCGTTTTGTACGGATATAATAATTGAATTAGGAGCACACTAAACGCCTCCACGGAGTTTTACCATTTTTCCACCCTCGCATATGCGAGAGACAAAAGGAGAGTTATGAAATACATAGAAACTCGAGTTCTCTTAGCCAAATACAACTCTCCCGAGGGGGATCCTTTTTAGTGTGTATTCTCGCGTTTAATGCGTTTACGTGGGTTTGCGAGCGAGCACTTGCGCCGGTGTGTGCGCGCGTGTGTGTTTGCCGCTTCTCTTCCTCTTCGACATTCTTCCGCCTTTATTTCGTTTTTTTCCATCACCTCTCTCGCGCTGCCAACTCTACGGTACCGTTTCTTTGTCAGCCAATGCTACATGAACTTTAAATTCTTTTTAAATTTCTAATTGGCTCCCGGCCACTTTTATACACTTTGCTTCTCGTACTTAATTGCTTTTCTTTCCCTCTGCCGAAGAGTTCTTACTTCTTTTTTATCTTGAGACAGAGGCGGATGCAAATAGGTTGATTTTTTGGCAAAACTCTTTTTCAAGGTGAAATTCATGCAAATTGCGATTTCTGATATTTGATAGCTTCATAAAATGATATCCCAAATGGAATCCTTATAAACGTGTCGTAGAGATTTCGGAAGTTATAAAACTTGCGACATTCGCAGAATGAAGACTGTTGTCAGGTTAGTGAGTGATTTTTCAGACGAAAGAGTCATTCAACAAAACGATACAGCTCATTAATAAGTAGGCTATGCTTGTAGACGTTTTTGGAAACCGGATAGTGGAAGAGAGGATGAGAGAGCGAGAAAGAGAAAGGGAGAGAAAGAGAGAGAACAAAGAGAGCGGTGATGAAGCTAATGAAACTCGAGCTGAAATAACAGCAGTGAATGTTAATTGGACTCGCTTGAAGAAACGGTCACCTGTGCCCATGTGACAATCAGTTTTATCATGATGATTTCGGAAAAATAGGTTTTTTTGTTGGGAGATCGAAAAAAACAAAAAATAAAGCCTGCCTGTGATCCCGCAATAATAGAATATAATGATACTGACCGTCCATCTGAAAGTGAAGTGTAGCTGAAGGGTGACGGGTTCGGTGAGGGTGAATGTGTTCTGGCCGAGGGCATGACTAGATACGTTGCCGAAGCTACACGAGCCGATGGCTGTTACGTTGGACTGGTACTCTTTGAGGCACAACCAGAATGCCGTGGTACACGGTGTCGTGCATGGTCCCACGTGATACTTGGGTTGACTTGCTTGCTCAAGATTCGTTGTCGGCGACGAGCTGATACTTCGCGTGGTACCGCCCCCGCCATTGTTGCTAGGACTGCTGCTACCTCCGCCGCAGCAGCGGCCGTCCACTAGGGTGCCACGGTTGTTCGTCAGTGAGAGGATTTGCACCTCGAAGTAACCGCTACCGGTTGTCGCCTGAAACACCATCCAAATCCATTAGCTTCATTGCGCCATGTCGATTAAACATATATTATCGTGTTGCAATTGTCTATTGACAGGCCATATGATGTCTGGCGTGTTCTGTCGGGTTTGATCGATACAGGGCGGCGCACGGTGCGACAAATGAGCAATTGTGCTCGGAAGATTATGAAATATCCTCGTAGAGCAGACATCATGAACCCTGAAGGTCGGTGGCATGTGGCATGTATATTTATAAAGCGCCCAAGCGGTGTATAAAAAGTGTATCAGTAAACGCACTCGCAGAGGAGAAAAGAACTCGAGCATTTTCCACGTAACTCGTGGCGCTTTATAAGAGCATTCTCCCAGAATTATTAACGCTCGATTAGCATACAATGCTCGCCGACCCCTCTCACTGTTTACGGCTTAATGTGCGCGCTTATTCTGCAAATCTCGGTAATATTCTCGCTATATCAACTGCTAAATCGATAGCGTATGCTAATCTCTGTTGTAATGACACCCGGGCAAGATAAATAAACGACGCTGCACGTAAAAAAATGGGAGAGGAGAGATTGCGGAGATCGTAAAGCGTGCTTGCTTGCTTGCGGTTTCGAGGGGCAAAAAACTTGCTAGAGAAAACTTTTATAGCGGTCGTTTATCATAAAACACAGCAAACGAAAAACCAAAGGGGGGTCGACTACTACGATCAGCTATGAGGTAGCTTCAATAAAACACTGACAAATGGTACAGTTTAGCGGTCGAAGCTCTACTACTCCGTGGAAACTCACTTCTCCGCGCGCATAGAAGAACGGAAGTACTGCCTCCGGGGGCCTTCCATTACGCGCGCCCGAGCATTCTGTCTGTCTGTCTCTCTCTCTCTCTCTCTCTCTCTCTCTCTCTCCTTTTTTTGTTCATCATCCTCGCTCTCGTATATATTCCGACGCTGCGAAACTCCAGGGTTCCGGTCACTTCTCAATTCTTTACCGGCGGAACTGATTTCTGTTTGCCGAAAAAGAAGCAACGTATTCCAACAGATTCAACAGATTTATACAATAAAGCCTCTGCGGTTTCTTTGCCAATCGCTCGATATTTTTATTTTCTCCCTACCTTATGAACTTATTATTCGCACAGAGAAATCATAATGAGCCTTTTCAAACTTTCTTCCCACACACAAAACACTCTTTCGAAAAAGAAAAAAAGAAAACGGCAATGTTATACCGTCGACAATGAAAACGCCTGCTCGTCGAAAAACAATAATGCGCTATTCTGTGGGGGGAGAGGTGAACGTTTCGATCTTCTGTCTGTTGCGCAAGCTTAGCGTGTAAGCTACGAGAGAGCGCGTCTCGCTTGAAAATGATTTAGCCGACAATAAGAACATAAACAAAGCGGCAAGAGCGAGCGCACATGTATAGGAGCCCGAGTGAGCGAGTGAGGGTGTAGAAAGCGAAGGATCGTCTCCCAATGCTGCTTTCCATGAGTCGATGCCTGCATATACCGTGGGTGAGTTGCCGCCGCCGCTGCTGCTTAGCTCGCTCCTTACGTAACTCGCACACGGAGATGGAGACTGTCTGGATCTTTCTCTCCGCCGAGAGAGGAGAGTCCGCGAGTTCGCCGAGTGCATAGGCACGACGGCGTTTACAGCGACACATACTCGCACGATGATTTCACGCGTGCAGATAGATATACATCGACGCAGGGAAGCAGGAAGACGTTCGTACGTTTGTGCGATTTGCATGAAATTGTTTTATTTGGAAAAAACGGTCCTGCAGCGATCTGTGAGAACGAAATGCACTCGCGGAAGTATCGCGTGTATGTTTACGTTGAATTTGTGTGATGATGGACAAAAAACGGACAGAGAGCGCAAGCTAATTAAAAGTTATAATTAAGCCTGAAACGCAAAACGGCGTGACGGCGTAGGCGCATTGTAAATCATTGCGGCTCGCGCGTGCGCGAGTTCATATCGAAGAAAACGTCGTCGCAGCAGCGCAGCGTCAACGTGGGAAGAAGTTTAATGGCGCGCGAGCGAGCGAGAGAGTTTCTGGTTACGTGATTTTTTGGAGCTAATAAGAACTTGTACGACTGCACACCGCTGCTGGCGCTGCAAAGCGAAAGGAAAGTTTTCGTGATGATCCTTTTTGCCTGTGCGCGCGCACACACAAGGAGAGTGTGCATGCGCCGCACGTTTTCTTGCACACCAGCAGCGCCTCTATTATTCCAGTTGAGCCTTGATTTCTGCTCTTTTATTGGTTTTATAATTGAATTTTGTTTGTCGCTGTGGGAGACCTTCAGAAAGAACATCGACATTTCGTACGCGTTTATTGATTGCAAGTTCGATTGGGAGAAAATACGGTGGATGGTGCTGTGTATGCAGTCGCGTGGAATCTTGGGAAAGTGAATTACATGCAAATCGAAGAGGCCGCTGATACAAGCACGGGATTAACTTACTCCAAAGTTTACTCACGTTCGCGATAGAAACTAAAGAGGCCCGGAAACTTTCACCTAACCTTTTTTCTCTTTATTGATCTTTCTCGTTCCTCTTTTACTAATTAGTATAGACGGCTGCTAATGTCATTATATCCTGCACGTTAGCGTAATAAGCTTGCAGTCGTGGTATAGTTAGCTCTTGATCGCTCGGCAGTTCCCGCAAGCAATCATCGTTGTTATAAAACCAAGAAAAGAAGAGAATTCAAGTTTTGGGTTCGTCCCACTTAATTCAGCTGTTTGTACCGCATCTTGTGGTCGGCGAATGTTTTGGCGTGCCGCGCCTGTCAGGCTTATTGACAGTCTTATAAGAGAGCGATGAAGAAATTGAACTCTCGCGCATCCTGGGCTGCACATAAATTCACAAATTGGCCAGGTGCGCGTGACAAACGGCGACTCCTTGTCAATTGACTTTCAAGTGCGCTTGCTCCTAAAAGCGGGATGACGCACCGTTCACGATGTATTCTTTGCCATTGTTTGCTCTCTCTCTCTCTTCGCTGATATTTGCCAAGGCAGCTCACGTGCGCGGTGCGCGAGGGGCAAGTTTCTGCAGGTTTCTCGCAAAAAACGTCGGCAAAAAAGGATTCGGCATCAGAGTTTCGCATTGGGATTCCCGTATACACTAGATAATTAATGTGCCAGAGGTTGACGTTCGATTCGCGCGCGTATAGCTTATCTTCGCGCCATATCTCAATTTAGAAGAAGACGGCGTGATTTTCGTCAGACCGATCTTGCGTACGGCGTAGACAAGATTTATATGCCTATGCGAACGGCCGTTAATACGCGTGGGACGACGAGGTGGCGCGGGCAGATTCGAAATTTATATAGAATTTATTTTTCTTCTCGAGCAAAGGCAACTCGCTGCCGCGTGTGTGCTATCTTGCGTGAAGCATCTCTAACAAGCGACCAGCATCCTGCATACGTAATTAGATCGCGCGTTATTCGCGCGAATTACTCCCGACGACCTCGTCAACCGAGTTGCACGCAAAAATTATGGAAGGTTTCCGATGGTAATTGCGCGCGAAAGGAGAAGAAACGTAAGCCGGACAATGCGCGAAAAGGAGATCGGCGCGCATGGGAAAAGACAACGAATGCCCAATTAAAACGTGACCGCGGTGCGCGCGACGCTGTTAAACTTTTGCCGTAAATACGATTAGCATATTGAGAACGGCTGGAATTTCGGAGGTTTCCGAGACGGCCATTCCTTGGGAATGGTATTTGACGCCGCGGTCGGCAGCACAAGCTGCCCCATTCCTTTCTTTCTGCCGGCAGAGCTTCTTGTTTCAGCAGCACTTCTCATTACTTTGGTCGCTGTCTATTTCTTCAGCCTGCCTATTAAAAGACACCATTCATTCGCGACTAAACTTCTTCTTGTTTTGTGGAAACGAGAGCGAGCGAAATTTTGAAATGGTACACGGCTAGCTAGTGCGAAACCTAACTCTCGCACACGTTAAATATAATTAATAGTTCCAACTGCTCGTCGTGTACGAGATGTGTACGTGTGTGCCGTTAATTATTACAATTATTCTGCAAACATATATCTCGCGGTCTTGATTAAAAGGTCGAGAACGAGGATTTATGATACGAATGGTAATCAGGCAAGATTGTAATGAGAACGGCCAAACCTCTGTATCTCGCAACTCTGTATTTCAAAAATGTGCAAAGCTCTCCTTTCCTTGAACTTTTCACCAGACAGTCATTTCCAAGAAAGCCAGAGGAGGATATTTGTCCAAGTCGACTTGCAAACTACGGGAGCTGTAATGAGCTACAAGCCGAGAGAGCGAAAATTGAAAATCCACGCGCGCGGCAGAGCTTCGGCAGTCGAAACAAAAGGTGCGAAGAGAGAATATGCAGCTTAAGTAACCGGGAACGATAGTGGGGGGGGGGGGGACATAAACGCGAGTCCAAGCTTTCTCACGCGCGGTTTTAAACAATATCCTACTTTGCTGCAGATCTTTTTACGACGGACTCGATTGATTTCTGGACACTTTGCTGGCAGCACCGGTATATAGCTTTCCTTTCCGCTCGCATTATTATACGGGGAACTCGTCGAATTAATGCACCACTTTCCGTGAAAGATACAGGGCTTTGGCGCCTACTGGCAAGCAGACTTGTATATCTGTTTTTCCAAGCGCGAGAGAGGCAGGTTTGTACGCGGCAGCGAGTTTTATGACGCCGACTGCGCGTTTGATCGGGTTAATTGGAGCTGAAAGGCATTATGAGTTTCAGATGTCCGTGTGCTGTGAAGTCATCGCAGTTTTTTCTATTCCGTTTAACACACGGTTGAGTATATCTTGCGTGATGTGTCGAAACATACCGCGCACAGCAACTTTCTTCAATAAACATCGAAAACATTATCATAACTTAATTGAAGATAAATCCTCGTTATTCGATCCGCCCGCGCGCACCTAATGACTATCCTTAAATCTTGAAATTATCTCTAATTCACTCTATAATCAGACCGCGAATCAAATGGGCTATAATTAAATATAAAAACGTCATAATCATAGGCGTCGAAGGGGGCAAAAAAGAGTGAA